ATTCCCCTCAAGTTTTGATTGATCATCAGTAAATCGTATTTGTGATTAGACAAAATCATCGATCCTTAATAATGTGATATTGCAGATCATATAAAGATAATCATTCATGTAAAAAAATTTTAACTTCTTAATACAGTAATATGAAAATGATCTTTGAGGACTGCATAGATTTTACGAATAAAATTTAAATTTCTAATCATCTAATTATTCAAATTATGTTTTATAAAATAAAAAAAATTGAAATCACTAGATTACTAGCAAATTTAAATTTTGTTCATAAAATCTACATAGTCACAGAGGGCTATTTTCATAGCAAAGATCCTATATGTACTCTCAATAGAAATGGACAAGGCGGTTGTTTAGTGATTGTACTCGAGTAAGGTTTTTGCCTGAATAACATAGTAGCTTAGCTTAGCTAGGTCAATCTGGGTATTTAATAATACCCAGGTAGTGATTTTTTCAACAGGTACAATTCTCTACAATTGTTACGTATTATAAACATACAAGCTAGTCAAGTTGTTTTGCATTTCACTTTTAAACAATTAAATAAAAAAAAAAGTCTAGAATATAAGTTTTAAATTTAGTAGTTATCAGACTTATTATGTAGCTAATATTTATTTTAAATTCTAGTTTGATGCTCATTATTTAATATATCTTACGAGTTAAATCTTTATTGCGTTAGTATGAATGGATATCAAGCTTAGTAAAGATATAAAAATTTTGCAATTGTTTTAAGCAGTAATGTAAAAAATAAATCGCAAATTTTATATTTGTATGTGCGTTTATATTCGGGAATTGAGTTATAAGTTAGTTACTTCAGTTTATCATTATTACTGATTAAATAAAAAAGTGAATTTAAAATTTTTACATTTTTATATTTTATTAAATTTTTAATTTTAATCTTTATTTGTTATTGCTTATGAATTATTCAGTACAATTATTAATTTGATAGAAATCAAAATGCTTATTGTTTAATAAAGAATTCATATATGCTATAAAGATACAATAATCAAATAACTTAATATAATTTTTTCAATAGTATTTTAATAAATAATTTGAACAATTTAGTATTTATTTATACACATTAGAGAGAGCTATTTAATGAAGAAAAATCTTAGTCACTGCTTATATAGCCAAAATAGATTAGTAATTTATACGTACGTATGCATATTCGGTCAATTTCTTGAATCTATATGCATTTATACATTTCATGCCTCTACTAAAAGTTCTTGATCATAATACCTGTAGTTGCATGCACATGATATAATACAGATTTTGTAGGTTAGGCGAATAATGCAAATAATAAAAATATAGCGGCAAAGGTTTAGCTGATCTAGTAAGAAAAAAAACCTAATAATTAAAATTTTATCTATATGCAAAGTTAGTAATAATAACTTAATATAAGTAATAGACTAGAATAGGTCGCATTCAAATAATATACTTAAGGGCAGGTTTTTCGTTTAAGTTGTAAAATAAAATCTTCAGTTTCTTTCTATTTGTTTAATAATAAATTATTTATTTGTATCGTGTTTTTTAAACTATTCAATAAATAAAAGTATAAATGATACTTCTCTTTATCTATTAATTTTTCATTTGATCGTGATCATATAATATTCTTCTCTTGTCCTTGCTCAAAAAATTAACCTAAAAAATTCATAATCTATCGTAAATATTATCAATTGTTAAGCTATTTTAGTTTTTTTTTTACCACGCATCTATTAATATAATATTACCATTAAGTATCAATGCAATTTTTGATATTGAAGAATAAGATATGGATATTAGCGATAGCAGTGACAATGAACTTGATGATATGCTTAATAGAATATTTGATGCAATGGATAGTGTTAGCCAAATACAGGAGATAGTAGATGATGATAATACAACAGAAAAAGGATCATCAGAAACAGAAAGATTTAAAACCTATAATCTCCCACTTGAAGAATATGTAGAATAGATAAAAAATCTTGAAAAAGCAGGGCTTAGTTATAATAAACATGACCGTCAAGTACAAATTGGTGCAAAAAAAAAAAATCAATAGTCAGAGAGGTGGTATTGTCATCGATACAGTACATATGAAAGTACTGCTGGAAAAAATACTATGAAAAAGCCACAATTAGTACAAAAGGAAACAAAAAAATGTGGTTGCAAGAGTTATATCAATGTCACACTTCCTGTAGATTTAACAACAGTAGTTTTATATCATTATTATAAACATATCAACTACTATCCTAGTCAACTATTAGATTTATGTACCCTTCTTCTCTCTGAAAAGATTAGGAAATTTATTCATTAGCATGCACTTGAAGAGCTTAATGCTTTCAGTATTCAGCAGCTCTTGCGTTCTCGAGCAATTGAGCTTCAGAACCAGATTCAGTCATTAGAAAGAAAATAGCAAAATGAACCTATACAAAATATTCAACATTTGCGAGATGGATTAGTAACCAAAAAAGATATATATGTAATAGTATATGATGCAATGAAAACATGTACTTATTTTGATAAAGATAAAATAAAGTCCTTAGATAAATGGAAAAATAAAATAGTTAGTACGAGTGGATGTTGCTTATTTGAATACAGCAACTCAGAACCTTCTATAAATGAAACTGACACAGAGTTCCTGTTTGCCTTTCAAACAAAAATACAAAAAGAGTTAATGTCATATTCTCGAGTAATATGCTTGGATAGTACACATAGAATGAATAAGTATAGCTATCATCTTTTTACATTTATTATACAACATCCTATGGCTAGAAGTGGATATCCAATAGCATTTCTAATTAGTAAATATAAAAAATCAATAACATTAAAAAAATAGTTTGATTTTTTAAAACTTAAAAATAATGAATGGAATCTAGATATCTTTATGATTGATGACGCGAGCAAAAAAATAAAAGCAGTTGAAGAGAGTTTTTCTAATAGCATGATGTTGTTATGCTATTTTCACGTATTAAGATCCTAGCATAGAAAGTTAAATTATAATTCTAGTAAAAATATTGATAAATATAAAACAGCTATTTAGAAAGATCTCTAGTACTTAATGAAGACAGAAAGGTGGGATGATACTGAGACAAGAAAACAAGTTGACAAAACTATTAGCAAGTGACAACGATTTAATGTTAAAACAGTAAATACCTTTGCTAATTACTTCGAGTATTGGTAGAAACCAAAATATGACAAATAGATAGTATGCTTAAGGAGATTTTTAGAGATATGATTGATACTAATAATTTAATTGAAGCATTTCATCATAAACTAAAATA